CAGTTTCGTAAGTTTTAACATATATACAGCCATGAAATCATTGCCACAGTCAAGAAAATGGACATTTTGATTAATGAGCTTCTCTGTAATTCATGATTATGGAGTTAGAGACGTAGATCTTCTGTTAGATTGTGTTCATGTCTAGGGAGCGTTGGACGTGGTAGGAGCACGGGTCGCAGATGCTCTCAGTGTTCATGGTGCGTGTAGAGGCTCTTGTGTGTATTGAGCATGACTTGCTTGATCTTAGAGACTATGCATGTGTGAAGCTGCCCTCTCTCTCACGTCAGGTACATCTTCCTGGAATACGCATCCCCTGCTCATGCCTTGGATGCTGTAAAAAACGCTGATGGCTACAAGCTCGACAAGCAGCACACATTCAGAGTCAACCTCTTCACCGACTTTGACAAGTGAGTTCAAACTTGAGCCCTGAGAACCTGGACACTCACCTGCTGAGCGGCCCGGTTTCTGGGGGAGTGCTCGTGGCCTTTCCGGTAGTTGCGTCCTTCGGTCAGAGCAGTGCAGGACAATCTCACATCCTCGGCCCCTCCGGCTGGCCAGTACACCCCTCACCACCGGCATCCCGTCGCTGGTTATTACCAACAAAAGCGCAGCCTCTTCCTGCTCTGGGGGGAGGGCAGGCAGAGGCAGCACAGCGGGTCCTCGTGATGAGATGCTCTCGGTGCTTAATTCTTGTCCGTGTGGCTTAGCCAGTGTGCAGTGAGGACTGACTGGACTGCTGGTGGTTGGGAACCCCCAGTGTAGTTGCCGTTGTCTTTGCTCACCCCTGTTCTAATGGGTATGGCGTGTTACTAATCAGTGTCCTTTCCTCTCCCAGGTATATGACAATCAGTGACGAATGGGACATCCCAGAGAAGCAGCCTTTCAAAGACTTGGTATGTCGTTCCAACCTGTAACCACGTAGGCAAAAGAAATGCTGGCCAGCCTTTCACTTGAGGTGCTGACTTCCTTGGGAGTTGAGGTGCTGGCCTAATTTATTACACCTCCAAGAGCAGCAGGTATAAGTACATTTACTTTGGTGAAAATTGATGACGTGCAATGCATCCCTCCTTTGTGCCTCTTCTAGGGAAATCTGCGTTATTGGCTTGAGGAGGCCGAGTGTAGAGATCAGTACAGTGTGATTTTTGAGAGTGGAGACCGCACTTCTATATTCTGGAATGACGTGAAGGACCCTGTCTCCATTGAAGAGAGAGCGGTGGGTACCTGCTGCTACGTGGGCACCTGCTGCTATGTGGGCTTGCTCTGTCTCCTTAACGGGCCTGGGGCACTAGGGCAGGTGACNAAAAAAACTTTCTCTGGTCCAAGATCCAGTGCAACTGAGACTTTTGCACACACGTCGTTCACTGCTGTCTGTGCACATGATCTCATTCACCCGCCACAGCGCATCCATGTTACAGATGAGAACGCTGGGGCCCCGAGAGGCGGGGAGCTTGTCTGGGGACTCAGCTGCTGATCAGTGGACCCAGGATTGGAAATGAGGCTGAGGGGCTCTGCCGCCGGAGTGCTTAGCCGCCTGGTCCACTCCCGGTGCTGGGCCTGGCGGCCCCCGGCGGAAGCATGTCCATTTCCTCCTCCAGCACCGGCCTGCGCGCGTGGTAGGAACCGCCCCAGCCCTCCTCTCCTTAGATCACCTCCATCACTGGAAGGAGAAGAGAAGCACAAAGGGCCACAGTTTATATCATGGAAAAAGTGCTGGCCAGAAGCCAGGGCAGCCCCGGGGTGCTCCCAGCAGCCGTGCCTCCCCAGGAACCTCCGGGCAGCCCTCGCCTCTGGGACCTGCTTCCAAAGCCATGGACCCGCAGGGGCGGGCCGGTGGCCAGGGGCGGGGCTCTTGGTCCTCCGTCGTGCCCCTAAGACTCCATGGTTCCAGCACAACGCCTGGCCCTGCAGGCCTGGAGACCCCCAAGTCCCCCACCTCTCCGGGAGTCAACAGAGCTGTTGGTCTCTAACTGCCCTCTGCTTCAGTCCCCTGTGAAAGGCTCCCTTGAGCCTCCCCTGCAGTCCCAGAGGCCCTCATATGGCTTGCTTCATAACAGCGCGTTTACCTGAGATAGGAGAGGCCCCAGGAGGGACAACCGAGGCCTCAGAGACAAAGAGCCGGCTGCAGGGCTTGGGCGGGTCCTTTTCTTCCCCAGAGACCCGGGCACCCCCACTCCTCCATTCTCCCTTTTCCTGTGGGTGGCGCCCCTGAGCAAGAGGTTAACAGGTGCAGAATGGCCGTGCTCAGGGTTGTAGGGACAGCGCAGCAGCCAGGCTGCTGGCTCAGCACGCTAAGCTTACAAAGCCCCTGCTGCCCGTGGAGCCGCGTGGAGCCTGCCCGCCCCGACGCCGTGGGCAGCCCTTCTGCTGACCACTCCCTCTCCCTGCTCCTAGATGGTGGTGCTCATGGACCCTGATGAGGACCCTGAGGACACGCTGCGCACACACCGGTCCCGGGAGAAGACCTTCATCTTCGACACTGTTTTCGACCAGCATGCATCACAGGTGCCCTCCACCTCACTGCCCCAACGTCCCCCACTGGGCATGGCCGGCCAGCGGTGTCCTCCCCGAGGCCTGGAGCCCTTGGGAGGACTTGGTGCCAGGTGGTTTCGCCCATGACTTCTCACAGGGGTCTCCCTGATACTCAAGGAAGTTGGCAGGGCTTTACATGTCTCATTCATTCGTCCATACGTCTGCTTGTCGTCCACTCACCGAAGTACCCATCCATTACCTGCCCATCCATCCATGCACCCATCTGTCCATCCATGCATACATTTGTCTGTTGTCCATCCATCACCCATTCATCCATTATCCATCCATCCATCATCCATCTATCCTTCCATCCACCATCTATCCATCCATCCATCCATCTGCCCACCCATCTAACATAGTGGTGTTCCGTCTGCCATGTGGTGGGACACACTCCCTGCCCCCAGGGCTCACGTCCCAGCAAGAGAGACAGTAAGCAGGAAAAAACAAACATGTTAATACTAGTGCTGTCGTGGAGGTGACAAAGCGTGTGGCAGGGGCAGAGGCCTTTCCGAGGGGGACATTTCAGTTGGGGCCTGAGAAGGGATGAGCCAGCCGTGAGGGTGGAGGTTTCAGCACGCCCATTCCACAGATGGAGAGCCTGCACCCCTGCACCCCGCACCACACCTTCAGGTGCCAGGCAGCCACGGGCCCTGCTTGTCCCCTAGTTCTTGACAGTGGCAGAACAAATGTCCCCAGGCACCTGCCCACGCCCACCTCTGATGGTTCTGTCCCTGGGTGAGCATCAGGTTGGCAGACCTCACACAGGTTTCGTCCTAGTGTCAGGAGGGGCTGCAGTCACCTGGAGACAAGCTGGCCCCGGGCCCACATGTCCCCCTCTCTCAGCTCAGTGACTTCCGGCTGGGAGCCTGCTGGGACTGTCACCTGGAGCACGCATGTGTGGCTTCTCTGTGTGGCTTGGGCCTCCTCACAGTGTGGCAGCTCCTGAGCTCNACGTGACTTATAGACACATGATGGTGTCTTCTGAGGAGGGGGGAGAAATGCAATTTAGGGGAGAGAAAGCAGACTTTGAGTCCTTTTTTTCTCTTAGAAAGAAAATCTGCAGCAAATATGGCAAAATGTAAACATTTAAGAATCCGCATGTAGGTAAATAAATGTTTGTATACTGCTCTACTTTTCTACGTGTTAAACAATGATTGAATGCGGTGGTTTTGTAGGCGGCGCCTGGCTCAGGGCCGGCCCTGGGTAATTACCATACTGTCAGCTGGAGAGGGTGAGGTGTGCCGGCTTGTGTTGGGCGCGACTCCATAAGGTGGATGTTTGTTCAGCTCATCTCTGATTCTGCCCTCCTGATGAGGGATACACCACCACAGACTCCACTTTCCAGGGCTTACCACCCCTCTGCACAAAGCACCACAGTGAAGACATTTGTCTCTGCAAAAGGGAGGTGGCCAGACATAACAGAGCCGAGGTGGAGCTGACCGTCTGAGGCCAAACCCTGGCTAGAACGCCCCCTCCACAGCAGGGGCACTAGCCGTCCTCGCTTCTGTGGTTGTCTGAGGACTAGGTGAGTGAAACTGTGTGACGTTTTAGAACAGTGCCTGGCAGCTGGGTTCATTACCACAGGGCACAGAAGGGACGGCGGCGGAAACGCTGCCGGCCCTATAGACTCCACGAGCCTGTTCCAAGGTCAGTAGTACTGATGTATGTGACAGTTAGGAAACAGGCTCAGAGAAGATAAAGAACATGCCCAGGGTCCCCGGGAATCAAACAAGGACTGTCTGATTCCTGACCATGCCCCACACCTGAAGAGAGGGGGTCCAGTCAGCCTCCGGCGAAGGCAGAGGTGGGCTTGGTCAAATGAGAAGCTTGCATGATGGGGCCATATTTGCTCCACCCTGTAAGTCTGTCTATCCCTCTTCACACTTCTCCCTGCTCTGTGAGCTTAGATAAAATATCCTGAAGAAATGGCAGAAACGCGACTGAGAGAGCTGCCTGCTACGTTAGGAATGCGCGGAGTGAAACCCCATTTCATTACCTGCAGAGGGTGGGCCGAGACTGCCACCTGTAGGCGAGTTGTTTCTTCTGCCAACTCATTAATTCTGTCCACGACTCCCAAAGCCCAAAGGGGACAACCATTCACCCAGGAAAAGACCAAGGCACCATCAATTCAGCATCCTGCTCAAGGTTACCCATCCAGGTGGCAGGAAAACTACNGCAGCAGCCCCGCCTGCCGTCTGCACAGCTGCTGTGGCCTCTCCCTTTTCTCCCCTCAGGCGTGGACACTGACGAGCTGGACAGCAACGTGGACGACTGGGAGGAGGAGACCATCGAGTTCTTCGTCACTGAAGAAACTATTGCTCTTGGGAGCCAGGAGTGACCCGAGAACACTGTGGTAAGGCTTCCTCCTTCGGGCGCAGTCAGCATCCTGCTACTGGCCCACAGGTTAGAAGGTGATGGTGAAGCCCCCCGCCATGCTCTCACGGTCATAAGACCCTTGCATGTGAACTGGGACGAGTAAAATGCAAGCCCGCAGCTGTAGGCCGGGGCTCTTCACGCCTCAGCGCCGGGCCTCGTGCTCCAGGTGTCGGGAGGGCTTTGGTGAGCTGGGTTTGGCTGTGGGTGATGGCAGGACCGGCTGGCGCCGGGCGGATGTGCCGTGCGGAGGGGGAGGCCTGCACCAATCCTCTCCAGGAGCCTCAGCCGGGAGAAGGCCTCAGCATCTGGCGGGAAGGTGGCCGTCACCGGCCACGGCGCCCAGTTCTGATCAGTCCCTGGTTGGTCTGAGACCAGAGCCTTCGAAATCCGGTTGGGTGTGGCAGGGAACTCAGGCTTCTTCAGTGTCGGAGAAACGGTCTAGAAGTCTCACACCTTGGGTCTGACGGGTCGTGGGCACTGGGTGTCCAGGAGTGCGGTCCTGGGCAGGGAAGTGACCGGCCGTCCCTGGGCGTGGGGCCCTCCTGAGTCGGGGCTGCTTCCTGGGATGGCGGCTGCTTGTGGCACAGGCGTCAGACTGAAGCGGACGTTCAGGTCACTCCCACCTCTTGAGATGGGGCGGTGTATGCTTGCCTCACCTGCTCAGCTGGGGGATGGCTTCAGCAATGACTCCCACCGCAGCTCCCTTGCGAGGTGCAGGACAGAGAGTAAACACTGTCCCCTTGTTGCAGCGTCACCTGTGCTGGAACCGAGGTCGCCCTCTTGCAAACAGCCCGCACAAGTCCTGAATTCTGCCTGTGCTTTCCCGCTCTGGACTGACTGCCCCTGGGATTCCGGCTCCACACATAGTTGTGCCTTTCAACCCCCGGTGTCTTCAGTGGGGAGGTTTCAAGGCACTGCTTTAATCTTTCTCGTTTGGGTTTTAATCTCCACCCGTGTTTGTTACTCAGACGGATGCAGCGCTGCGGCAGGCCCCTTTCCTCCTGCTGTCGCACTGCCGCGTGCGGCGTCCCCTCAAGGACTCACTGTCCATGTGCGTGGCCAGTGTCGGCCACGTCCCAGCGTGTTCGGGGGCGCCGCAGCGCGTGGTTCTCTAAACGGGCTGAACGTGGAAATAAAAGCAAACGTGTGAAAAAGCTGTCTTTCTCCTGTCTTTAAACATAGATAGCGGCCTTGAATGTGGTGCCTCCCCTCCCCCGGCAGTAAGGGCCGCTCGCTGTTCCGGCTCCTTCCTCCTGTCTGCCACGTGTGCGCACGCGGCAGGCGGGGCAGGAGGACACATGCCCCTGTGGTTTCCTTCTGCAGGTGAGCTCTGTAAAGTATGTGTCGTCTGATGGGCCCGAAACGATTTCTTCTGAGGTTTTGTATCCTGTGCTTGTCACTGCTCCTGACAAGAAAGAACCCTTTAGACGCTTCCTTGAGGCAGTCAAGTCTGAAAGCCTGTTGAGACTTGTCACTTTAGCCACTGTTGGTGGTCCTCTGAATATTTAACCTTTCCCTGTTGAAAAGGGAGTGAACAAATCCATGTAATTTCTGCCCATTTTTATTTGCAATGTCTTGCTGCCCGTCGGTGCCTTGTCAAATCTCAGCTTCTTCTGCCTCTTTTTATCTCCTGGAACCGGAGCTTAGTTTAAAAAGCACTGAAGCACGGGACAGGCACACTCGGAATACACAGCTGTGACACGTACAAACCTCAGACGACATTCTGGGATTGGAGGACCAGCTGTCCTTTGTGGGGCAGAAGACGGGCCACCGCCTGCCCTGCAGCTCGGCCAGCTAGTGCCACCGTCGTCCTCGGCCCTCGGGACAGACTCTGCAG